ACCAGAGATCATACTTTGAGACTCATATATGTAAAGTGTATGCTCTATACTGGAATGATCTCCCTGGCCATGGAGCTTCAGATTTTAGAAGCCAGTTGATTCCTATATATGCCTACCTGAACATATAAGCATCTCAGCTATACTGAATTATGATCAGAATTCAATCTTCCTCATAGTTCTCTTTCTAGCTCAGTATTCCCCATCTCCACTAAAGGTACCACCTCATCCTGGGAAACCAGGAGACATATGACCTGCTCTTTCACTCCATCTTGGCACCACGTCCAGATGTTTCACTGTTTCACCTTTGAAATGTTTCTGCATGCAATTTTTTTTTAATTTTTATTAGTGAGACATCATGAGGTACAGTTGTAGACTTACAAATTTTTGTGCTTGGGTTTCAATTATACAATGATCAAATACCCATCCCTCCACCAGTGCCCATTTCCCACCACCACAGATCCCAGTATCCCTCCCACCTGCCATCCCCCCCATTCCACCCTGCCTCTGTGGCAGGGCATTCCCTTTTGTTCTCTCTCTCTTATTGGGTGTTGTGGTTTGCAAAAGAGGCAATGGGTGGCAATCATGTTTGGTCTATAGTCGACTTTCAGCATGCTTCTCCCATCCTGGGAGGATCCTCCCAGCACCTTTATTTGGTGTTCCCTTCTTTATCTGAGCTCCCTTTTCCCCTAGCATGTGTGGTTGGCCTCCAAGCCAGGGAGTAAAATTCCTGGTACAAATCTCGGCCATTCTTGGGTGTTAGTCTCCTATTTTGTTACTTTATGTTCCCCAGATAAATGCAATCTTTCTATGTCTATCCCTTTCTTTCTGAGTGATTTTGCTTAACATGATACTTTCCATGTAGTACCACTTGTATGTAAATTTCATGACTTCATCTTTTCTAACAGCTACATAGTACTCCATTGTGTAGATGTACCAAAGTTTCTTTAACCAGTCATCTGTTCTTGGGCACTCAGGTTTTTTCCAGATTCTGGCTATTGTAAAGAGTGCTGCAATGAACAAACAAGTGCAGATGTCACTTAGACTATACATTTTTGTCTCTCTGGGATATATTCCCAGGAGTGCTATTGCTGGGAGCTCAATTTCTAATTTTTTGAGAAACGTCCATACTGTTTTCCAAAAGGGCTGAACCAGTCGGCATTCCCACCAACAGTGAAGGAGTGTCTCTTTCTTGACACATCCACGCCAGCACCGGTTGCTTTTGTTCTTGTGGATATGAGCCAGTCTCTGGGGTGTGAAATGATATCTCATTGTGGTTTTGATCTGCATCTCCCTGATGATTAATGATGTGGAGCGTTTTCTCATGTGCCTTTTAGCCATTCGGATTTCTTCTTTGTGAAAGTTTCTATTCGTTTCATCTCCCCATTTTTTGATGGGGTTGGATGTTTTCTTCTTGTGGAGTTCAACCAGTACTTTGTATATCCTTGATATCAACCCCTTGTCGGATGTATATTTGGCGAATATCCTTTCCCATTCTGTAGAATGTCTTTGTATTTTGGTCACTGTTTCTTTTGAGGTGCAGAAGCTTCTTAGTTTAAGATAGTCCCATTTTTCTATCTCTGATTTCACTTGCTTGGCCAGCAGTGTGACACCTTGAAGATACCATTAGCTTCTACGTCATGGAGGGTTTTGCCAACTTTTTCCTCAGTGTACCTTATGAATTCAGGTCTGATGTTGAGGTCTTTAATCCACTTTGATCTTACTTTTGTACATGGAGTTAGGCAGAGATCTGAGCCCACTTTTTTGCATGTAGCGGTCCAGTTTTGCCAGCATAATTTGTTAAAGAGGCTTTCCCTGCTCCACTTCACTTTTCTTGGCCCCTTATCGAAGATTAGATGCTCGGATGCTTGGGGGGAGGTGTCAGTATATTCAACCCTGTTCCATTGATCTACAGCTCTGCCTTTGTTCCAGTACCATCTGCATGCAATTTTTTCTCTGTGTTCTATATTATCTCTTTTATTACTAGCTCTAATAATTTTCCTATTTTTTCTCTCCTTTTCCAACCAGGAAAGAGTAAAGCACATGTGTGTTAATAATAAATTTACATAATTAGAAAATTTCATATTGTTATATTTTTAAAAGAAATGCTATATATGGTACATGACTTAATTTTGTAAAATGAAATATATGTACATATAAATATATAAAACTCCCCTCTGCTAAAGTCATATCTTATTAAAAATTGCTGATACAGACTCTCATTCTCAGACCTATAAATAGAGTTGAGAAACCAGAGAGAGTTCCTCAGGTATATGGACAGCTTAACTTTGACAAAGGAGAAAAGAATATGAAATGCAGCAAAAAAGATTCTTCAACAAATGGTGTTGGGAAGGCTGATCAGTCACAAGTGAAAAATGAATTAGGACATCAATCTCACACTATGCACAAAATTCAATTCAAAATGAATTAAAGACCTTAATATCAGACCTTAATTCATACATTCCCTCTCCGAGAGCCCAGCAAGCTACCAAGAGTATCCCTCCCACACTGCAAAGCCTGGGAAGCTACCCGTGAGGTATTTGATATGCCAAAAACAGTAACAACAAGTCTCACAATGGAGATGTTACTGGTGCCTGCTTGAGCAAATCGATGAACAACAGGAGGACAGTGCTACAGTGCAATCCATGCATTATATTGAAAAAGTCACGGGTAGAACTCTTTATGACACTGAATCTAAAAGTATCTTCATGATTCATTGCTATTGTCTAAACATGAAAACAAAGATAAATAAATGGGCCTACATCAAATTAAGAAACTTCTCCACAAACTGGGAGAAAAATATTTGTCTATCACTCATCTGACAAAGTATTAATATCCTATAAATATTTAAAGCTCTTGTAAAAGTTAGCAAAAAAAGCAAAGGACCTCCTCAAAAAAAAAAAATAGGGAGAAGAGATGAACAGATTCTTCCTCAAAGAATACATATAGACGGGCAATAGATACTGAAAAAAAAACCTACATAACTTATAATCAGGAAATTAAAAACAATAATGAGCCAACCAATGAGATTGCTACACATAAAAAAAAAAAAGAACAAAAGCAGGCGGTGCTGGTGTAGATGTGTGAAGAAAGCAAGCCTTATCCACTGATAGAATGTTGACTACTTCAGCCTCTTTGAAAAATGATATAGACACTTTTCAAAATAACTAAAATTGAGCTTCCATATGAGCCAACAATTTCACTTCTAGGCCTCTACCTCAAAGCCAAAAATATTACTTCAAAAAGACATTTGTGCCTCTATGTTCATTGCAGCACTAGTCATAATAGCCAAAAATCTGAAAATAACCTGAGTTATTTTCAGACCGTGGTAAGGCATTTGCCTTGCGCACAGTCAGCCTGGTGAGCCGAGTTCAATTCCTCCGCCCCACTCAGAGAGCCCGGCAAATTATCAAGAGTATCTTGCCCGCATGGCTGAGACTGGCAAGATCCCCGTGACGTATTCGATATGCCAAACACAGTAACAAGTCTCAAAATGGAGATGTTACTGGGCCCGCTAGAGCAAATCGATGAACAATGGGAGGACTATTGGATAAACTGTGGTATATATACACAATGCAATACTACTCAGCTAGAAAAAAAATAAAATTATGCAAACTGCCAGACATGGATGAAGTCAGAGTGACTTCAGGTGAGTGAAGTAAGTCAGAAGGAGAGGGACAGATTCAGAATGATCTTTCTTAGACCAGGGTCTACTATGACAACATTTGTTGGAAATGATCAGTCTGGACAAGAACTGAGTGTTGATAGTATATGATAATCTTTCAGCATCTATATTGCAAACCATAATGCCTAAAATGAGAGAGGAGAGGTGTCTGACATAGAGGCAGGTTGGGGTGACGGGTGGTTTGGGGGAGGTGGGAAGGAAACTGGGGACCTTGGTGCTGGGAAATTACACTGGTGAAGGTATGGGTGTTGGGACATTGCATGACTGAAATCCAATCATGAACAGCTTTGTAATGCTCTATCTCATGGTGATTTGATAAAAAATAAATTTATATATATATATATATATATATATATAAATAAAACATACCTCACTAAAAAATTTTAAAAGAATGATCATTCTCATGTGTGGAATGTAAAGAAACGTAGTAGTTGGGGCTGTACTGATAGTGCAGTGGATTGGGACTTGCCTCGTATGCAAATACTCTAAGGCCACCTGCAACTCGGTCCCTTGAGGATTTTTCCTTTTCACTATTTCTGGGCTTCAGGGTAGTTATCCCTGCATTTCAGCTCTTTTTGGGAGTATACAAAGAGAGAAAATAGCCACAGAATAAAAAATAATAATAATAACCAACTGCTAAGCACCAATGCAGCAATGGGTATCTGTCGATAGTGACTAAACAAGCTTTGCTTTGTCCTTCAAAAATTTATACTCTAGCGACCGGGACAGATATGTATCGATTAATTTAACTGTAATAGCACTGTAGCACTGTCATTCCATTGTTCATCAATTTGCTTGAGTGGGCATCAGTAACATCTCCATTTTGAGACTTGTTGTTACTGTTTTTGGCTTTTCGAATACACCATGGGTAGCTTGTCAGGCTCTGCTGTGCAGGCGAGATACTCTCAATAGCTTGCCAGGCTCTCTGAGAGGGACGGAGGAATCAAACCCGGGTTCAACTGGCAGGTAATCGCCCTACCCGTGTGCAAGGCAAACTCCCTACCCGCTATGCTGTCGCTCCAGCCTTAACTGTAATAAGTATTACAAGGGTTACCAAAATGATACTGTATTTCCCGTAACACTAGAGTGTGTTATGAAAAAGTAATATGTTGTAATTTTTATTATTGTTGCTCTGATTGTTTCCAGATCAGTTGCAAGATAACAATTTCCAGAACCACTAATTTTACTGGGCATCTGTTCAATATGAAATTTCTTAGAACTTTCCTGTTAGATTCTCAAAGTTCAAGATCTTATCTTTTAGATAAGAAAAAAATAATTTGGTTTTCTTCTTTCTCCTTTCCCCCTATCTCTCTCCCAGCCTGAAGTTCTGGATCAAATACAAAATTTGAGGGAGTTGTGGATGGACAATAATGCATTGCAAGTGTTACCTGGGGTATGTAAGTTTTTATTATACCATGTTGTTTGGCATCACTGTTGTATGTCCATTTTAATTGATTCTAAATGATGTTATATCTAATTTCCAAAGGCATTTCAAAGTAAAACAGCAATGTGCCAGCTGTGTTTGGTCACTGAATATTTTTGAGTTTGCTTTTAAGCATTTCATATATTAGTGAGTGTGATAGGAAAGAAGATGTAAGAAAAAACGTTTCTTGTTCTCTTGGGAATGCTTTTAAATTTTATTCCACATTTACTATTTTTTTAAACTGAGGCTTTCATATTTTTAAGTATTGTATATAATACCAAGGCTTTATTTTATAAAAATCAAGCTTATCCATATCAGTAACTGAATAGATTTATGCTGCTATTGTTAAATCTCTTCTAAAAATGAAAATATCTCTCAGTTCATGGGATTTATAATAGAACTCATTTGAAATTTTGAAGAGGACAGGGATCATATCCGTTAAAAACAGAAATTAAACTGGATTCAAATTTTCCCTTGACTTGTAGACAATCTAGTAATGTCACAAATAGTTACCGCTAAACTCATTGACTGTGTTTATGCCTCTTTTCCAATCCTGTGAAAAATAATTTTCTGTCAGCTACTGCCTCTATAACATGCACAAAAATAAACATGTGTACACACACACACACAGAGAAACACTGAAACACAAACACACACACAAGGTCCCCACATATGATGAGTGACTCCAGATTCTTTGCATTGATTCAGGGCAGCTGGATGTGATGTGTAACAATTCTTCAGCCACTTTGATTTTGCTCTGCTCCCAAAGTTGATGACTATTATGAATTGACAAGATTAACTTCTTTGAAATGATTGCAAAAGTCACAAAAACAACTTTATTCTCCTTTGAACAAACTTTGAGACTTGCACAGAGATCTCTGACAAAAGGTTATGGAAAAAATACTTTCTTCCCTTATCAAAAGAAAAAAATCTGCATTTACTACAGACTCAAAACAGAAAAAAACAGGCACATTTTCTATTTATTGATTTACTCAAAAACTTTTCACAAATACACATCTTTGAACTAGGAATCATACTAAAGTCAGCATTATGATGATAATATATTCAATAAGCTTGACTTGTTTGAGGAGCTAATCTCTAGCAGGAGAGAGACATGTGGATGCTAATACCCATGATAATGACTGATTTACATCATATTCAGTATATTCACACAGGTAAGATATTGAAATTGAAGATACTCAGAAATTGAGGAATCAGACTGCATAACTAGTTGGTAATGTTTGCATCTGCTTCTTCAACAGACTAATTTACTCAAAAGCACACATATAGCATTTATTGTAGACCACCCACTATCTAAATATTAACTTCTTAAATCTCCATCACAATATAAAGTAATTTATTACCATTTTCATGTCACAGATGAGGAAACGAAACAGAGTAACCTGTCCAAGGTCATGCAGCCCATCCATGGTGAACTGTGATTCAAACAAATTCCAAAGATTGTTGTTCTCTATGATGCTATAGAATTCTAGTTCTATAGAACCAACAGAAGATCCAAATTAGAATTAAATTCATTTTGCTTTTCACACTTTTTTCATCCCCGAAGCTCAACCATGAAAATCAATCTCCTTTAATAAATTATTCACATTTTTCAATTTTTACTAAGGTACCATGATTTACAAATGTGCAATAACGATAAAGTTTTATTTTTACAATATTCCAACCCCACACAAACAACCAGCGTGCCCACTCTTCCCCACCAATGACCCAAGGGGACCTCCCAGCTACCCAGCTCAGTTCTGTAGCCCATTGTTCAGATTCCTTTGCCTTTGACATTTGTAAATCCCTTACTATATTTATTTATATCCCACATAAAAGAGAAATCATTCTGTCTCTCTCTCCTTTTTCCCTCTGCAAGATGTGCCCTCAAGGAAGAAAAAAAAGATGAAGGTTTCGATTTTGCTCTTCCTCCTATGGCCAAGGTCCCAGATACGCAATCCACAGTTCACTCTTTACCCAAAGTATCACTTGCTCTGTCCCCTGTCCTCAGATATCAGGTAGTAATCCAGATCCCTCTTCTCTTCTCAGCTAAACATATCCTTGTAGGGAAATAGCGCACTCTCCCCAACATGTAATCTTTTCAAAGCCAAATGTGATGCTGTCATTCCTACATACAAGTCTTTTTTTTAATAATGTAGGAGCACTGCTATTTATTCAGCCATTGATTAAGCTGATTGAATTGGGCATGAACTCTACTTTACTTTTTTTTTAATTTTTTTAATTTTATAAGTTAGTTCACAATGTTTGATTACACTCAATATTCAAACACCAATATTCAAACATCATTACACTTTCCCATCACCAAATTCAGGATGTTTCCATCCCAAACCCCAATCCCTGTCCCAAAACACAGCCAAAATAATATATTTCCTATGGAATGTCTTAATTGCTCCTGCCCAAATAGAGTAATCATCACACTGCTTCCTATATGAACACTTTTTTGTAAGCATGTTCAGCAGTTCTTCAAATCATAAAGTCTTAAATAGCATTCATCACCTGGAGGATGCAGTAGTCTCTTCCTCACACAAAAAGTCTTTTAGAAATGACTCCTTCTTGACTTCACTGCTTCCAGTAGCTTTGAAGTTCTTCTTCAGACCTACACTGCATTTCACACTTGTCTGTGAATGCACATGCTGTCTTTCCTTCAGGATGAAGGACAGGGACAAGGACTGGGACAGGCACTTCATTTTCCCGCAAGAAGTGTCTTTCTGGCAGCTTGTCGCCCTGTGCTAGTGCAGTGTTCTCTCCCTGCTGTTTTGATTACCCACATCAGAGAGTATTCTAGCAGCCTGTTTACTTGACACTTGCTTCACTCTCTGAGCCCTTTAAGGATACTTACTTTGAGTAATGACAGGTCTCTTCCCACGCTTAGCTGACTTATTCATGACTGTTCTTCAATTTACAATACAAGACTCGGGACATTGTTGATTCTCCAAAAAGGATTGGTATATAAACGAGGTATTGACACTGCTCAGTAGGAAAAAGTCCAATTTACAATTTAAAATCTCTCCTGTGCATTTAAAAGAGTCAGCATATCACCATACATTGTTTTGGTGGCTATTTATTTAATTCATTGTGACAATTTAGAGATCCATCCCTGCTTTTCCTTAAACTGTTATGGCAAGACACAATCCATATGACATAAAATTCACCATTTAATATTCATAATTTATGCATTTTAAAAATACCCAAATGATAGACAACCACAGCATAGCTTTAGAACAATTTCATTAGCCCCAAAAGTACTGAAGCCCTTGGCAGTGACTTAGCTCACCCCAAATTAATGACCATAATCTACTCTCTGTCTCCATAGACTTGTTTCTTCTGGACATTTTATATAATTAGAATAATATAATGTTTGGACTTTTGTGATGATATTCCTTTCATTTAACACTTAATTTTTTAATGCTTCATTTTTGTAACCAGTGTTTCTTTTTTACTGTCAAATAGTATTCTAAAAATGAATATATTCATTCTATTCTTTTTCGTTTGTCCATTCATCAGTTAACAAACATTGGGTTGTTCCTTCACCCTTCTTTTGATCTTTCTAATATTTCTGCTATAAATGTTTTTGATAATCCATAAGCATTATGGATATATTTCCTTCTTCACATATGCATAGGGATTTCTGAACAATATGGCAACTCTCTGTTAAATGTTTTAAGGAACTGACAAACGTTTTCCCAAAGTGACTGCTTGTACATTACCAATAGCCGTGTGCCAGGTTATCAGTTCTCTACATCTCGTTGATACTGTAATTACTGTCACTGCTTTCAAAATTAATTTACAGTGTTTTTTTTCCCAACTTTACAATATCTTGTGAAAGTTTCTCATCTAACCCTGAGTTTATGCAATGTCATCAAGTCTATAGGGAAGTTAAAGATGCTGGTATACCTGGATATGTCGAAAAACAGGATAGAAACGGTTGACATGGACATTTCCGGATGTGAAGGCCTAGAGGACCTCTTACTGTCATCCAATATGTTGCAACAGTTGCCTGACTCTATAGGTGAGACAATGGGATTTTGTCATAAATGTTTATATCCTCTTATGTGTCATTTTATTTTTTGGTAATGCAGTTTTGAAAGTGTAGGAAACATACTAATGTCTTGATTTAAAGGAATCAACAAATTCAATACTCAAATCACAAAATAATCTTTTTAATTAACTTAAAATGAAATGAGAACTATTAATCGTCAAGCTCGAAAGACTCTCCTACTAAAATGATCTTTAAAGTAAACTTTTATCAGAAATACACTGCTGTGCTATGAGTTAGCTAGGTGGATAATTATAAAACTATTTTAGGATATATATGTATGCTTTCACAGTATTTTAATTAAATATTATGTGCTCTGAAACATTTTGATGCCTATAAAAATTCCTAAAACGAACAGATACCATTGGGCTACGCTAGCACGCAACCGGGATGAATGGAGACGTTACTGGCACCCGCTCGAATAAATCGATGAATAACGGGGATTAAGTGATTAAGTGATAAGTGATAAAAATTAAGCCACAATATAGGTTACCTTATTGAAGAAAAATGAGAAAACAAGACCATTTTCCCTATGTTAATATATATTGCTTTCATTTCACCATTACTTCAAACTCATGGAGAAAACTAGTTTTTAACAAAACAGCTGGCTTTTCTTTATTCCTAAATGACTTTTTTATTTATATATTGTTTTATTACAGTATTTCTCCAAATTGCTCCATCATAAGACTTATCCAAAAATTTTGTTGAGCTCTTCTATATTTCCAAGGATTTACTATAAAATTTCAGATTCAATAAGGTTATAATAGGCTCTCTGATCTGTATTTTTATCAATTATGGTAAATGAAGCTTGTAATCAAATACATATAGAAAATACTTTGTCATATAATTTAAGGTAATAACTTATCATGGTCTAAAAAGAGCCTCCTTTGAGATGATATAGAAGCCATCTGGTCAATATTGACACCTTCTATTTCTTTCTAATCAACCATAACTACATATTCCCTTTAAATATTTATTGGAAATTCAAATTACAAATACCATATTACCTCTTTCCCAATATCAAGAACCATCATTGGTATATGCTAAGCGTTCCTTTAATATAAGTCAATATAGCTATGATTATGAAGAATGAACACCTTCTTGAGCTTGAAATACAATGGAAACAGTATAATGATGACCCTAGGCAGAGAGGCTATAGATCATACAGCAATAGCACCAGGTTCCATTCCTTCAGTAAAACAGGAGAATTTGAGCTTATAGGGGATGGAGTAAGGGCCATCTTCTGTGTCAAAGAAGATTGTAAAAACCTACAACTAGTACGCAAAACACAGGAGAGAAGAGAAAACAAATATTTACACTTAGTGTGAAACCATGGCAAGTCTCAAGCTGATTTGAAAGGATCTGCAATACCCCATGAGATGAGACACCATGTTGCTAATATAAGTACAACCTGGTTCTAAACTCCAGAAACTTGGGATCAATTGGCAATAACCAATTGATTTGTCTGCAATGGATGAGAGTATTTTTTTTTAATTTTAGTATTGTGCTTTACAATACTACAACACTGTCAATGGTAGAGAGTGGCCAGTGTTCCATCCCTTAGACAACTGAGCATCAGAAACAATGAAGAAGCTAAGGAACTAAGTCATATCAACGGAGGGTGAAAAAGTCTCAGAAGATTGCCCTGTTACATCAGATCTTGCTAATCTGACTGAAGACTACTTTATACTACTTTATAACAATACTATAAATGCCTCATGATCTAAAAATGATACTTGAGCAGAGAATCAATAAACTTGTGGAGGGCTTGATTAAAAAAAATGAAAGAACACATTCAGAATTAAAGGAGCTAAAAATCAAATCAGTGAACTATTAACAGTGAAGATATGTTTCACAACTACACCAGGAAATAAGAGGAAATAAAAAAGGAAAAGAGCAAAAAATTAACAAAATTAAGATGTATTTTTGGCAATACATCTAATAAGGACAACCGTATGACCATAGGAATCCTAGAAGGAGAAAATAAAGGAAGAAAAGAATAATAGGTGAGAGGAAGATTGGCACACTGACCCAAGAAGTCCAAAGAGTGACAGTCAAAGCAAACCAAAACAGAATAACACCAAGATACACTGTAATTGAATTTCCAAGAACCAAAAAGTGACAGGATGGGAGCAGGTAGGGCACTTGCCTTCCACAAGCTGACTCAGGTTTAATCCCCAGTGTCTTCTGTTTCTCCACACCAGTCAGGAGTGATTCCAAGTGCAGAGCCATGAGTAACCGCTGGGTGTGACCCAGAAAACAAGCAAATCCACAACAACAAAAAGACAAGTTTATTCCTCCTTAAGGAAGCAAGAGAGAAGCAAGACCTTACATCCAAGGAGAAAAGCACAAGATTCACAGTTTTCTCTAATGAAACTCTACAAGCAAGAAGAGAATGAAATGTCATATGCAAAGTATTGAATAAAAAGAACTCTCCAACCAAGAATCCTTTACCTAGAGCTGAAGGAGGGATAAATGTATTCTCAGACAAACAATAGCTGAGAGCACTGATAATCTTAAAACCAGCTTTGGCAAGGATACATAATGGCTTCATTAAAAGAGGCAGATATCATACAGCATAAGCAACCAAACTCTTCATAGACACTTGACAATAAACTCCTTCCTATCAGCCATTTCTGTAAATGTCAATGGAATGAAGTGCCACAAAATGTCACAGAGTGACTTGATAGATCAGGAAACAAAATACAGCATTCTGTTTTTAACGAGGAGTATACTTAAACTCTCCTGATGAACATACTCAAGGTGGAGGACCATCACACAGTCTAATGACAGACTAAACAACAATAAAAAGCATAAATGCCCCTTCTTGTATCAGACCAAATAGTTTTAAAGAAAATAATAAAAATATAGGAACAAACATTACATACCATTTAAGGGATTGATAATTCAAGAGGGCTTAAATCTCATCAACATATGCACCAATGAGTGGAAAACTTAAACAGTCCATTTTCATAATTGAACAGATCATAGTGAACACCAGTAAAGAAGGAAGATCCATATAAGAACTGGAAATAATAGACATATAAAGGATCTTTCGGTCCCCCAAAAACAAATACACATTTTTCTCCAATACACAAGGAATATTTCTCCAGGATAGATCACCTATTGGGACACAATTCAAATATCCACAGTCATGAAAACAAAAAGCATATCAAGTATCTTTTGAGACCACAGTTACATATATGCAGAAATTAATCATAAAAGAAAGTGGGAGTAAATATGGACCAGAGTGATAGTACAGCAGTAGGGCATTTGACTTGCGCATGGCCAACCTGTGTTCAACCCCTGGCATCCCATATGTCCCCTGAACCCATCAGGAGTAATCCCCTAGCATAGAGCCAGTAAGCCCTGAGCATAGTCAAGTGTGGCAAAAAATAAAAGTGGAGGGATGGGTATTCGATCATTGTATAACTGAAACCCAAGCACAAAAATTTGTAAGTCTACAACTGTACCTCATGGTATTTCACTAACAAAAATTTAAAAAGAAAGAAAGAAAGAAAGCTAGAGCTAAAATTAAAAAACAAATTTTACTGTAAAAAAAAAACTTCCGTTTTGGAGACTGAATGATTGAATGACTGACATACTCTAAATAAAAATTGGATACAAGAGGAAATCAAAGAAGAAATAAAAAGTATCTTAGAAATAAATGATAATGAAATACAACTCTAAGAGCCTCTAGGACACAGCTAAAGCAGTATTAAAGGCAAAGTTCTTAGTAATCCAGGTTCATCAATACAGAAAAGAAGAAAAAGTTCTAATCAGTGACCTAACCTCAAAACTTCAGAAACCAGATAAACAAACAACAAATAAACCCTAAAGTAAGTGTAGGGGAAGGAAATTATGAAAATTAGATCAGAAATAAGTGACATAGAAATGAAGAAAATAATATAAGACTAGCTGAAGCAATAACACAGCAGGTAGGGCGTTTGCCTTGCATGCAGCCGATCCGGGTTCAATTCCTCTATCCCTCTGGGAGAGCCTGGCAAGCTACCAAGAGTATCCCGCTCACACAGCAGAGCCCAGCAAGTTCCCCGTGGCATATTTGATATGCCAAACACAGTAACAACAAGTCTCACAATGGAGACATTACTGGTGCCTGCTCGAGCAAATCCATGAACAACGGGAGGACAGTGCTAACAGTGCTAATATAAGGCACTAATGAAATAAGCAGCATTTCTTGAAAGAATAAACAAGATTGACAAATAGCTAGACTCAAAAAGAAAGAAAGAAAGCCCAACTAAATCAAATCAGAGCATAAATGGAGAAAACACAACAGGCACCCCAGAAGTAACAAAAGATCTAAAGAGGTTACTATGAACAACTCTAGGCTATTAAACTGGAGAACCTGAAAAATAAATGGATCATTTTTTTTTTCAATCACCATGAGATACAGTTACAAAGCTTTGGTGATAAGACTTCAGTCATACAATGTTCCAATACCATCCCTCCACCAGTGTACATTTCTCATCACCCCTATACCCCGCATCCCTCCTGCCACCTCCCATCACCACCCCCAGCCTGCTCTATGATAGGCAATTTTCTTCTCTCTCTCTTTCTCTCTACTTTGGAACATTATGGTTTGCAATACAGATACTGAGATGCCATCATGTTTGGTCCTTTACCCACTTTCAGCACACGTCCAGAGCGATCCCTTCCAACCATCACTGTTCACAATAGCCAGAATCTGGAAAAAACTCAAGTGCCCAAAAACAGACAATTGGTTAAAGAAACTATAGTACATCTACACAATGGAATGGGCTGGAGCGATAGCACAGCGGGTAGGGCGTTCGCCTTACAAGCGGCCAACATGGCCGACCCGAGTTCGATTCCTCCGCCCCTCTCGGAGAGCCCGGCAAGCTACCGAGAGTATTCGATATGCCAGACACAGTAACAACAAAGTCTCCAATGGAGACGTTACTGGGCCCGCTCGAGCAAATCGACGATCAACGGGA